TCTTACACACTCACTACTTGCTACAAGAAAAGCAGACTAACTAGAATTACTAAGAATTACAAATGCAGTGGTGGGGGGAGAGAAATTAAGATTACACCAGCATTCCTTGAACACCTTGAGGCCTGCAAGTGACAGCATTCAAAACTTTTGACCCAAAATTGTTTCTTTTATCAATCACGTCTGTCAAATCTTGCTAACGAGGTATGTTGTGTATGATGTACACAATATCCTTTACTTCAGACAAAGAAATGTTAGTTCTGGAATGCTTCCACAGATGTCAGAAATCCCATGGCTACAAAAAAGCAATAAAACTAAACATGCATGCCATCTATACTTGCCTGATATTCAGAGGAGCAACTCTGCGATGCGAACGGACAAGTGTCAGTAAAATTGCACTGGTATAATGCGGCTTATCATCCATGCCAGCAATAACAGGAAAACCAACTATATCAATTGTTCAACGAGCCAGTTAAAATACTGACAGTTCTATCAATCCCCATATTATTTTTTATAACTCTTGAAGACTACTGCATCTTCCATTTCTTTCCCATGTCCTGTGAAAGTAGACAAGAGTGCAGCCTAACAAACTCTTCAGTGAAACATTTTACTCCTAATTATCCGTGGGAATGGAAGGGAAAGGGCGCGCAAACAACAAATAAACACAAACAATCAAAGGATTCCTCTAAATCTGGAAATGGATACACAAGCAGTCCAATGGAAAATTGTTAAAATTTATAGAAAAGGCAAACTGAACGCTGAGTACGTTTAATTTTTCTCTACTACTTCTGGTCAAAACATTTCGCCCCCAAAAAATATTTCATAGGATACACAGACACCTGCAGGTCTTCATGTAAAGTGCTCATTAAAACTGCCTGAACTAATGGTGAGCTGAAATAGCTTGACAACTTCCTTTCTGCAAAACTCTCGAATATTGAAATTAATGTAAATCTGTCCACCTGTTCTATAGCTGTTTCACACATACAGAAGGGATGAGCAACACGTGCTCTACGAAGTTGTCTGCCAATACACCTAGCACGTGCATGGATAAGACAAACCAGACAACCCATGCACAGCTAAATGAGAATACACTGTACACAGGAAATCATTTTCCCCATTTCCTCCCTCACAAAGACAGCAGAAGAAACCAACCAAAGAAGGAAGATCCATGAAAAGTCAATACAGTATTTACTTTAGCATCCTAAACATAATAAATTACAGATTCCAAACATTCAATCATTCTTGTGTGTAACAGATCATGTGAAAAAAATGTTACATCCAGGTTACTGATGTATGCCAGTTTGACCAACTCCATTATGAATGATTCTTTTAATTGCTGATTGTGAACAATCCTCACCAGCTATGCGATCAAAGAGGTCTCCTCCTGACACAAACTCAAGGAAGATGTACTCGAGGGGTCCTTCTTGGCGGTGTCCGTAAAACCGGACGATATTCGGACGGTTCAGCATCCTGTGGATGAACACTTCTTTGTGTACACTACTTTGCGCACCTGAATGTTTCCCCAAGTCAATCGCTTTCATTACGACTTGCTCTCCCGAACCTCTGTGTGTCAGCAACCTTACTCTGTTATGTGCAAAAATATCAATGAAATTAAAGGTTTAATTCCTCTCCATCTTAAGGACAGAATGTGTAAGACAATCTGCTGCACTGTTCACTGAAATCCTAATCAGTTTTTCTTCAAATTTCAGGCTCATTAATAAAAAAGAGCACTCACTTTATTGCATAGATCGCTTATCCTACTCTCTATCGTGATTATTGAAAGGCAAAGATATCCCTGGGCTTTAACTAATTAAGGACCACACCATGAAGACATACGGGGGAGTGAAAGTATAGCCCCACTACTCTTAACCTTGGCTTTAGATGGAAGTGAGTGGTCAGCTTCATGCCCTGGCTGCTTTACCACCGGATACCCACTGCATAGGATGATGGGTAGGCCTCAGAGCCAGTCTCGACCTTCCAGAAAAGAAAAAAACTCTCGCACATGTCAGGAACTAAACACTAACTCCACAGCCATCCAGCCCGTAGCCCAGTCACTGTACCAACTGAGCATCCAGTTCCTATTATGATTATTACACTTACTTTATTTTCTGGAAGCATGTTACTTAAGTACAGATATTTTATGCATTAAGTCTGACAACTATAACCTTTAAGTCTGACGTTGATATTGTATTTTTATAACTGTTGACTTACAAACAGTCCTTAATTGATGTATATTTATGGTTTTGCACCATGCCAAATTTCAGGGCCAGGCCCAGCTCCAGAGCTTTTCCTGTTGTATTTTTCAGTTATAAATCTTGGACCTCAGGATTGTAAATACATACATCATAAGCACAGCAACGCTATGTGAGTTTTGGACAAAATATTATGTCTGAGGTTTGAAAATTAAGAATGAACATATTTACTAAATATATGTATGCCTGATATTTAATCACATCTGCCATAAGAGTAAGCAATGCAGTGTGCTGGGAAAAGAAATTTCCAACCTCGTCTACATCACCTACAAACTTTTTCTCAAATATTTCCATACAGGAGCTAAATGGGTTGACATAGCTGTAACGCTCATAACCTGTGGTCTCAGGTTGTCAACTCAAATCTTAACCAGGGAATCAGATATCCTGCCATGGTTTCTGTTTTCTTTTTCTGTCCCTCCAGGCAAATTCTGGGATTGTAGCTCATTTGGGCCACTGCTGCTTCCTTCCTAATCCTTTCCAGATTACTGCTCGCCTACCCATTCAATCGGCGCTTTCTGTCTAGCTACTTTAAGGGTTATGAAATACACAGGGCAAATAGTGTTTCTCACACTTTCTGTATAAAAGCCATTCAACATCGGTTCCATATAACATGTTTATAAACACTAAATAATGCACTTCCACTGTTTTCCCCCAGTGCGAAAGTCAAGGAAACGTGAATCCAGACATCTACTTCCCCATATGCCTTCAGGGTATAGTGCTTAATTAGGTCCTCACAGGGATAACTTTACCTATAAAAGTATCACTATTTTTAATGTACACTGCAACACAACCACAAAAGGATATTATTGAACTTTTGGAGCATACAGTAAATAATTAGTTACAGAATTTGTTTAGCTTTGTATTGTCTGTTTGTTTGTTTGTTTGTTATGCTTGTGACCAGTTTCATGTCCATTGTATTTTGAATTTGTGAAATGTGAAATATATGTATGTATGTATGTGTATTAAAATTGACTTCAATTTTCAAAGCAAAGTATAGCTACAATGAATTGCAATGTCATGGTACAAATACGTATGCCGGATAGCTCAAATTCAGGTCATGGAATATAAACATGACACATGAAATATTCCTCTTCAAATCTGTCAGTTATAACTGTGAAAGTTTCCTGAGTCCATGGCAGATTTTCTCTCTGGCTTAACTGTAAATACAACCCCACCTCCCTCAGTAATATTATATATGTATATTTCCCAAGATTGGTGTAGTGAGTTTATTTAAATGTTATACACCATGCACTGTCTTAACATATGCTTTCCTAGTTACATGGGCTTAAGTGCGACACCAGTATGCCCTAGTGTGTGCTTATGACTATATCGGATGTGTTTTCTATTACTATACAGGGAAAAACTAGCCATATTCAAAACATCCAAGTGATATGCCCACGAACAGCAGGCCTGAAAGACGGCTGAGTAAAAATGTCATGTGAAGTAACTTTGCACTAAATAGGGGCTTTCAATGTATTTTACTGAAAACATGTCTTCATACATGCTGCACAGTAACATAATGTTTCACTAGGTAACCGTCTGCTCACACACATACTGCATAAGCCAACTACATTTTTTTACAAATTCCCTTTTACCAACTGCTCAAGCCTGCAACAACTGCAACAAATGGTTGCTTGCAGTATCTGAATGTGTTTGGTGATTGGCATGGTCGTATGTTGGACTCTTCATAAGCTAGGATTATTGTTTTAACTCCTTACAGCATAACCTGTGGTGGCAAGGAGGGGTACCTCCACGCCCCCCTGCACTACGGCGTTACATCGAAATTCGAATTCATATAAATATCTCTCCGTGACTTCGGTATCCCATAATTGGAGAAAGGAGAGTACCCCATTATAGGAACCTTGCCATGTTGAATTTCAGCCACGACCTGTGTTTATATCACTTTACAAACTTGCATGCATGAAGTGTCAGAAATTTCATTATCGATATTGCATACAATCAAAATGATAGTTACTTGAAATCAGTTGCATCAAGGAATGGGGTAGCAGACAAACAAAGTCTATCGCACACAAGAACGCATTAAATCTAGTGACTAGAATAAAACCTAGTTGGCAGTCCACTACTTCTCTAAAGTGGCGTGACTGTGCATCAGCTACAAAACCAACTGCACGCCACCCAACGGCAGAACCTTACAGAAAAGATAACAGTAGTACCTCATATTAGGAATTGCCCTCGTGTTAAGCAACGTTGCCCTACGTAATTGGGTATGGTTCTTGGCGCCAAATGTTTCACTCAAAATGATATCTTATCTCAGAAGACCACAGATAACATAACCGTACCTAATTTCTTTATTCAAACGCGAGACACAACACTTCTCGCTTGAGCACTGGGCTGCAACTGGTGTAGCTCTGAAATAATTCGTGTCTAACATATCTGGCAGTTCAGATCATGTGACTTCTCATAATTTAGAAAATATGATTTAGGCACCGGTGTGGTGTTAGTATCACTCCCCTATACATGCAGCTGTCCTCTGGGAACTTCTGAAGTTAATGAGAATAGGGTCCCTTATTAACGAAATTTTACAGACTATACCGACACAACGGCAACACTCTAGACTTATGTGCGGGGGTTATTCAGTTCAGATTGGTTATTTCGAGGTTTATCGTGCTTTCCGTCATTGCCTTCTGGAAAATAGTGGTCCAGTGCCTCGATTGCACCACAATCGCTTATTTACAAATCTTTTCCAATGCGTCATTTATTATTCAACATGATATTGTGACATGTTGCGCAATGGACGCCCTCCCACCCCGCCAACAGCGATGTGGCGGCTCTGGCCACTGTGACGTAGCTGGTGAGTCAGAACTCCCCCCCCCCCCCNCCCCCCGCCGGCGGTGACGTGCCGAGCGGAGCCGAAGTGAGCCGAGTTCTAGCACACTGGTCGCTATGCAACGCGGATAAACAGTGGTTGCGAGAGACGACGGTAGCAACAGTGGTGTCTATTACGTGGCAGTATTTTCGTCGCCCTGCTGGGGGTTTATAAGAGAGCTACACTGCCTACGAAGACAGTTAAAGTGTATCAGCGGTTGAAGATAGTTCTCCGGTTCTCGAACTTACGAGATAGTTACGAGTTAGGTCGCAAGTTCTCAAGCCAACAGTGATAGTTCGTGATAACCGAGTAATAACTGGGAGTGTGGGACGCAGTGACACTGATATAGCTCCCGTATTGTGAATACGTGTAGACTACTGAAAACAGAGTGAATTGATTTGCGAATAGGGTTATAAATTGTGAAACCCGCAACTGTGTTATAAACAATTGTAGCCGAGATTTTTAGGTTGTTAAATAAACCAATTAACAATCTTTACGGCGTAAACAGTAACTAAATACGTTACAATATGTTAATTCCGGGTATTATGCCGTGGTGACAGGGGGCGTGAAGGTATCCAGCCACTATCACCATTTGTTACGCCGTAAGGGGCTAACACAATAATCCTAGATTACCATCAGCTAGTATTCTTCTGGTTCTGGACTTCCTTCGTTGCATACAGCTGCCGCCATTTATTACCTCTTATGAGTGGTGAGAAAATATTACTAATTTAGTCCATCGCCACCCTTTCAGTTAAGATGTTCGCTGCACTCGGCTGCCGTCGACTGCCTGGGTTAGTTCTGGCTTCGCTTGAACTAGGATCCTCGGGATCGGTCGGGGAAAGTTTGAGTTTGTGAGGGTGAATTATAACTCTCTGTACAACCTATCCTATCTACACTTGTCTATTTACACTATTTACAATAAAAGAATGCCGACGTCTGTCGGTTTACACATGGTATCGTTGCGTTAATTGTTCTGATATACATTCTAATCTCTCGCTTAGAGCAGATGGCTCGAGACTGTCACTGTAACATTATTATTACTCGATACGATCTCTGTCCTACCCTAGATACACTGGTCTATTCACCTTTAATTTGATTCTATTTACAATATTACAATATTTCAGCCGGAACTACAGCATTTCTATACGTCGTCAAGCTATCGTTTCATCATAATCTCCCCTTCTCAGGTGTAAGTCTGTGGGTCTCTCTCTCTATCTCTCTTTCGCCTATTTCGGCTCATGAGAATATCCAAGTATTAATTGTTAAATGTGAACCTTTTCCCACTCTCCATTCCCTACTACTCATTACATAATTTTACACTATCTTATTATAATGTTTCACCCTTAAAATATTCTGCCCCTAAAGTTATACATACTGAAAGCCTATATATATTTATCGCAAAAATCAGTAGTCATAACACACTATCTAACGTCTACCATATTTACTACACTAGCATCCTTAGCTGTTACTTGTTACATGATTTCTATTATTCTACACTAAGGGCTCGCTGGGCACACTGGACATTGCTTTCACATTTAACAAACAAAGCCTTACCAACAACCATAAAGTTTAACACCATGGCTAGTATGAGTAAACGTGACTTACTTGTGATAGGAGACGCAGGCTAGACTCCACCATTTGTAAGACCCATATCGAATAGCTCCGGCTGACAACTCGTTATTACGTTTAGATCAGATCCCTATTTAGTTTCCTTTCCATTTTTGTACACTAATTTTGCTGGCGCTGCAGTTGGCGAAAGAGGGAAGTTAACCACTTCCTTTGTTCTACATTTCGGGGTGGAACGTATCCATTGGCTAATCTCTTTACTGGAGGGCGGGTCCGTGGTACATCATCGCTGCGAATTTGATAATATTATTATACTGCAGTGGCCCAGTTAGCGGAGCTTCCTAATAATGCGATCACACATAAATGCTGATCATCAACATTCTTAACCTAGATCCCTAGATCATCTGTTGTCATCTTTACTCGATTGCTTTAAAACGCTTTTCGCAAGCCTCGAAACGTGTAGGCAATGTCTTTTGATTTTCAGTTTAAAAATTGCGGCGCAACACCGGGTCGGTTGCACCACTGAAGAACAAACTTACACAGAGAAATTACTCTTCAAGATATATATATATAAAAAAACAGATGACTTCTTTTAATTAATATAATGTAAATTGAAATAGAGATTTTTATACTTTACATTTTTTTTTGTATTTTGCCCTTTACTAAGATATATAAATTAACGCTTTTGCCCAATTCACCCAATAGATCCCGAGTTACACCCTTCAAGATACACAACACGAGAACGATCTAATTGATACAGAGACAGAGAGGGACGCATTAAAACTTGAAGCGGAACAATTTCGAGGCCAGCGTAAGGACGCCGCAGCACTGAAGGAAGATAGGCACCGTCGTATATTAGAAGCCAAACGCCAAGTATTGTATACGAAAGCCATAGAGGAAGAGAAGGACGCTCTCAAGCTTGAAGCAAAACAAATTCCAGGCCATTGTAAGGAAGTCGCAGCAATGAAGGAAGATAGGCACCGTCGTATATTAGAAGCCAACCGCCAAGCAGTGTATACGAAAGCCATAGAGGAAGAGAGGGACGCTCTCAAGCTTGAAGCAGAACAACTTTGGGGCCAGTCTAAGGACGTCGAAGAACTGAAGGAAGATAGGCACCGTCGTATATTAAAAGTCTAACGCCAAGCAGTGTATACGGAAGCCATAGAGGAAGAGAGGGACGCTCTCAAGCTTGAAGCAGAACAACTTCGGGGCCAGTCTAAGGACGCCGAAGCACTGAAGGAAGATAGGCACCGTCGTATATTAGAAGTCAAACACCAAGCAGTGTATAATAAAGACATAGAGGAAGAGAATGACGCTCTTAAGCTTAAAGCAGAAAAACTTCGGGGCCAGTCTAATGACGCCGAAGCACTGAAGGAAGAAAGGAACCTTCGAATATTAGAAGTCAAACGCCAAGCAGTGTATACGAAAGCCATAGAGTAAGAGAGAGACGCTCTCAAACTTGAAGCAGAACAACTTCGAGGCCAGTCTAAGGACGCCGAAGCACTGAAGGAAGATACGCACCGTCGTATATTAGAAGTCGAACGCCAAGCAGTGTATACGAAAGCCACAGTGGAAGAGAAGGACGCTCTTAAGCTTGAAGTAGAACAACTTCGGGGCCAGTCTAAGGACGTCGAAGCACTGAAGGAAGATAGGAACCGTTGTTTATTATAAGTCAAATGCCAAGCAGTGTATACGAAAGCCATAGAGGAAGAGAGAGACGCTCTCAAACTTGAAGCAGAACAACTTCGAGGCCAGTCTAAGGACGCCGAAGCACTGAAGGAAGATACACACCGTCGTATATTTGAAGTCAAAGGCCAAGCAGTGTATACGAAAGCCATAGAGGAAGAGAAGGACGCTCTTAAGCTTGAAGCAGAACAACTTTCGTGGCCAGTCTAAGGACGCAGAAGCACTAAGGAAATAGGAACAGTCGTATATTAGAAGTAAAACGCCAAGCAGTGTATACGAAAGCGATAGAGGATTAGAAGACGCTCTCAAACTTGAAGCAGAACAACTTCGAGGCCAGTCTAAGGACGCCGAAGGTCTGAAGAAAGATAGGCACCGTCGTATATATGAAGTAAAACGCCAAGCCGTGTATACGAAACCAATAGAGGAAGAGAAGGACGCTCTCAAGTTTGAAGCAGAACATATTCCAGGCCAGTCTAAGGGCTCCGAAGAACTGAAGGAAGATTGGTACCGTCGTATATTAGAAATCAAACGCCAAGCAGTGTGTACGAAAGCCATAGAGGAAGAGAAGGACACTCTTAAGCTTGAAGCAGATCAACTTCGGGGCCAGTGTAAGGACGCCGAAGCACTGAAGGAAGAAATGAACCGTCGTATATTAGAAGTCAAACTCCAAGCAGTGTATACGAAAGCCATAGAGGAAGAGATAGACGCTCTCAAACTTGAAGCAGAACAACTTCGAGGCCAGTCTAAGGACGCCGAAGCACCGACGGAAGAAAGGAATCGTCGTATATTAGAAGTCAAACTCCAAGCAGTGTATACGTAAGCCATAGAAGAAGAGAGGACGCTCTCAAACTTGAAGCAGAACAACTTCGAGGCCAGTCTAAGGACGTCGAAGCACTGAAGGAAATTACGCAACGTCGTATATTAGAAGTGAAACGCCAATCAGTGTGTACGAAAGCCATAGAAGAAGAGAAGGACGCTTTTAAGTTTGAAGCAGAATAACTTTGGGGCCAGTCTAAGGACGCCGAAGCATTAAGGAAGATAGGAAACGTTGTATATTAGAAGTCAAACGCCAAGCAGTGTATACGAAAGCCATAGAGGAAGAGAAGGCGCTTTCAAACTTGAAGCAGAAGAACTTCGAGGCCGGGCTAATGACGCCGAAGGTCTGAAGGAAGATACGCACCGTCGTATAATAGAAGTCATACGCCAAGCATTGTATATGAAAGCCACAGAAAAGGAGAAGGACGCTCTTAAGCTTGAAGCAGAACAACTTCGGGGCCAGTGTAAGGACGCCGAAGCACTGAAGGAAGATAGGCACCGTCTTATATTGGAAGCCAAATGCCAAGCAATGTATACGAAAGTCATAGAGGAAGAGATTGTCGATCTCAAGTCTGGCCACTCAGTTCGTTGTCCCCTTTACGTGGTTTGCCACTTTGTTACTGTCCTCTTTCATCCTACGTTGTGCTCCACTTATCAACGTCCTCACTCTTCTCGTGGATGTCGAGAAGTTAGGTGGGAAGGGAGGAAGAATTTGGAAGTTGGTGCTGGTAGGCGAGAGTTCGGTTTCGGTACTACAATTAAGTGTCTCGCAGGTATTGAAAGACGGGAGTATCAGGGTTCTGGTCTGTAATTGGTAGAGCTCAGTTCATATCCCGGTGACTTATACGGGTCTGGCTCGTTCAGAGCAGGAAGGATCTTTCACTACAATGACACACAGCTCTTAAGACTGTTGTACATAGTAATAATTTAATTCACTTCCGTTCACTGAAATCAACGGAAACTAATGTTTACAGTTAATAGTATTTAACACGTAATATTTTCTCTTCTGAAAGAACGTAGTTGTAAATTTGACACTAATTTCGCTGAAAGTTGGTTGAAGAAGTCTCGAGGTGGAATGAACTCTCTCTGAATCCTGAAGTTCACGAACCACAGACTCCAGGAGAAATTCACTCTTCCACTTTAGCCACTCGTTAAGTTTTCAAACTAGGACGTTCCCTAAATTTTGAATTCCCAATCATGTTTCTTTGGTATGTGATTCTGACTGATGCTGACCTGACGCTAAAATTGACAGCTCCTTGATGCATTACGATCAGGGTATGAGGCTCCGGCAGTCCAAATTTTAAGTTATCCCTGTTCCGAGCTGTCAGCTATCAAATTCTCGAAGACTTTCCGACTTTGCTGAAACTGTCAGAATTCCAGGAAACTACCAGATGTCACTTCCTGTCCACATAGTAAAATTAGAACTATGTCCCTACTGAGTGTAAGAGTTGGCTATCTGCCGGAACTCTTTCTTTTTGTAAACTTATCTTAATATAGATTTAATTAATACAAAAGGTGCATCAATTAGAATGAACGGTTACACAAGCTTGAAGGAGAACAACTTCGAGGCTAGTGTAAGGACGCCGCAGCACTGAAGAAAGAGAGGCCCTGGGATAAGAACTCATCTCTACCCATTACAGAGCCTCGAACATGTATAATTATATGTGTTAAAGGGCATCATTAGTGGTTCACATACTCACCCATTAGCGACCCTGTTACCAGCCAGTAAACAGACAACACTATTATGGAAGTGCATGGAAGTTGCTCTGATAGAATTATGAAAAGATGTCATTTTATCCAGTGATGTGAACGTATTGGGCGAATCTCTCGGTGTCCAAAGCAGTGCTACATTAAAGAAAAATATGAGCATAATAACAATTACAACAAGAGCAATTATCACTTTTTTTAATTGCATTGCAGTGATGTTCAATTCTTTCTTCAGTGCTTCAGCGCCCTTACACTGGCCTAGAAGTTGTTCTGCTTCAAGCTTGAGAGCGTGACCAGAGTGGTTTGAACGGCTGCTGTACTGCGATGTGGAAAGCAAATGGAAAAACTACCACATTATCACTTTTCCTGGATAGTCTCTTTCCAAAAACAGAGATACCATATATGCGAGATGTTTCCTCTGGAGGCAAAACAATCCGGAGGTAAACTACTCCCCCAATCGGATCTCCGGGGGGGAGTGTTTCTAGAGGAAATGTCATGCAGGCGTTACAACAAGAAAAAGTGCGAAGATCAGAAGAAACAGCATGGATACAAGATTGGAACATGGAATGTCAGGACCTTGAATCAAGCAGGAAAATTGGAGAATTTGAAAACGGAAATGCAGAAGAATGAAGTGTCTGTTCTAGGTGTCAGCGAAGTGCGGTGGAAAGGACAAGGTGAAATAAGAAGCGGTGATTATACAGTGTATTATTCCGGAGGTGAACGGGCTGAAAGAGGTGTGGCAATAGTGGTGCATAAAAGTGTAGTGAGGAGTGTTGTTAAGAAGATTGCTTGTAATGACAGAATTATTGCTCTGAAGTTAAAGGCGGAACCGGTAGATATACTGATTATACAAGTGTACATGCCAACATCAGAGTATGAAGATGATGAAGTGGAAAAGGTGTATGACACAATTGAAGAAATTCTTCAGGAAGATGGAAGAGGAGACACAAACAGCATCATATTGGGAGACTGGAACAGCATTGTTGGAGATGAACCATATCAGAATATTGTTGGATCACATGGACTAGGAAGACGGAATCACAGAGGTCAAATGCTTATTGACTTTTGTGAACGAAATGGATTGATTGTTACCAACACTTGGTTCAAGAAGCCAAAGAGAAGAATTTACACATGGAAGGCACCTGGGGATTGGAAGAGGCATCAGCTGGACTACATCCTTGTGAAACATCGATTCAGAAACAGTGTGAAGGATGTGAAGACGCTTCCTGGGGCAGACATTGACTCTGACCACAACTTGCTGGTTGCCAAGTTCCGAACCAGGTTGAAGAAAATTATAGGATTTCGAAAGCGCAGACCCAGATGGGATTTGGAGAAGTTATATGCTCAAAGACAAAGCGTGCAAGAGACTCTAGAAGAGAAACTCGGTGCAATTGAAGGTGAAAGCGGAAATGCTGAAGCGCAGTGGAACGATATAAAAGAATGCATGTTAGATACTATCAGTGATTTGGTAGGTAAAGTTGAGAAGATAGCAAGAAAACCATGGGTTACACAGGAGATGATGAGTAAAATGGAGGAGCGAAGGAAATGGAAGAATGTCAACAATGAAGAAGGCAGGAGGAAATACAGGAGACTGAGGAATGAATTGAAAAGAGCCACGGACAGGGCCAAAAAGGAATATCTTGAGAAGATATGTAATGAGATTATGGAATTTCAAAGAACAGGCCGTTATGATTTGATGTACATGAAGACAAAAGAACTAGGATGGAAAGAGAATCATGGGATTCAAAATGTTGGCATCGAAGACTCCCAGGGGAATAGAATAGTAGATCAGAGGCAAGTGCTGAAAATTTGGGAAAATTATATTTCAGAACTATATGATCGACCTAATCGGCCAGAAACCTTAGAAGTTGAACCGGAAGAAGAAGTAGATACAGACGAGAAAGGACCATATATTTTACAAAGTGAGGTGGAAAAAGCTATCAAGGAAATGAGGAAGGGAAAGGCTACAGGAGATGATGATGTACCTGGAGATGTGCTCAAGTTACTGGGAGAAGGTGGTTTGAAAACACTGACAAAACTAATGAACACCATATATGAAAGTGGAGAGTGGCCCAAGGACTTTACAGAAGTTACAATGATTGCCTTAAAGAAAAAGACAAAAGCTACAAAATGCAGCGACCATCGCACAATAAGTCTTATTGCACATACAGCAAAGATAATAGCAAAGATACTTAAAAGAAGAATTGAAAGGAAAATAGAGGATGTACTTGGAGAAGATCAGTTTGGATTTAGAAGAGGAAAAGGAACCAGGGATGCAATTGGGATGATGAGAATTATAGCGGAACGAACTTTGGAGATAGATGAAGAACTGTGTGTTTGCTTCATAGACTGGCAGAAGGCATTTGACCGGGTAAACTGGACCAAATTAATGCAGATCCTGAAAGAAACAGGTATCGATTGGCATGAAAGAAGATTGATTAGCAAATTGTACATGGATCAGAAAGTTAGAGTACGACTGGACAGGGGGGAGACAGGAAGTGTGCAGATTGGAAGAGGAGTTCGACAAGGATGCTGTTTATCACCAATTCTGTTCAACTTGTACAGCGAATGCCTTACCAAGGAAGCTCTGGATGGGCTCGGTGACTTCAAAGTAGGAGGGCAAATTATTCAAACTGTGAAATATGCAGATGACCTTGTGTTAATGGCTAAGGAAGAAACTGTGCTACAGGGCATGATTGATAGACTAATTGAAATTGGAAGGTGCTATGGCATGGAAATGAATGTGGAGAAAACAAAAGTAATGAAAATTTCGAGACAACCAACCCCAGTCACAATAAAGATAGACCAAAAACAAGTGGAGAATGTGAAATGTTTTAAATATTTGGGTAGCTTGTTAACAGATGATGGAAGGTGTACTTGTGAAATTAAATCCAGGATTGCCATGGCAAAAGCTGCATTTAGCAAGAAGAAGAATCTTTTTACCAGCAAATTGGACTTAAATTTGAGGAAGAAACTAGTGAAATGCTACATTTGGAGCATAGCTCTGTATGGGGCTGAAACATGGACACTTAGGGCAGTAGATCAGAAACATCTGGAAAGTTTCGAAATGTGGTGTTGGAGAAGAATGGAGAAGATCAGTTGGACCGATTATGTGAGAAATGAAGAAGTGTTAATTAGAGTCAGTGAGCAGAGGAATATCCTACATGAAATAAGAAAACGGAAGGCTAATTGGATTGGTCATGTTTTACGCAGAAACTGCCTTCTAAAAGAAGCTATCGAAGGAAAGATAGATGGGCGGATAAAAGTGACAAGAAGACGAGGAAGAAGACGTAAGAA